ATATGGTTTTTTGTAAGTTTGAGTTTTGTTCATAAATGATGTGGCATTTTTATCTACGGCGTCATCGACTGTGGGAATCCATTCGTCGGAGTCTGGAATCGGTGGTGAGGAATGTTTTCAAGGAAATTATAGTAGTTATTAAAACGTAAGAGAAATTATATATTCATTTAATAATAACGAAAATAATTAATTTTTGTTGGTTTATTTTATTTTATCTCACATACAAAATTTTTGAAAATATATATTAGGAAATATGTGCAATGATTTAACTTTTTGAACTCCTAATCTATATTATTCAACCCTCATTAAGCCATCCACGTATACACCCGCGTGGAATTCACTTTTTTTTGTTTTTTTTGGTCTGTTCGTTTTTGGATTTATTTTTTATTATTTTTGGGTTGAGCTATATTATAATAGGATAGTTTTAACCGCGTAGGCAACCACGTGAGACTTGTTTTTTTGTTTTTTGTTTTATTATTCCTTTTGGATTCATTTTTAACTATTTTGGGTTTGAACTTATTAAGGTTTAGGGTTTATACAACTATTTTGATCTTTAAAACAGTAAGCCAAAAAAAAAACATAAGAACCTTATAAACAAAAAGCCATATGATAATAACCTAAATAAAAAAAATCAAAAATACATGATAGCTGCGTCGTTTGAACCCACAATCTTGCATACTTAATTAGACACCTTATACCACTTGGCTAAAGTGTATTTCATTGTTTGTAATCATCTTACCAAGACTATGTGTGTTTAAAAAATATTTTTATGATGATGACATTAATTGGTATATGTATGAGAGCAGTGGGAATTGAACCCATGTCCTTGGAGACCAAACATGGGGTCTTAGACCACTTGACTAAACTGATATTCTTTGTTTGTAGCCATTTTAAAACAACTATCTATTTTAATATAAAAATGTGGGACCCACAATCTGCCTATGTGGACACCTTAAGGAGCCTTGAAACTGATCTATTATAATATAGATTCTAAATATATATTTATAAATGTTTGGCAATTGCTCTAAATATTTTCCAAATACATTTTTATTTAAATTAGTTTCTATACATTGGATGCAGGAAACTGACACTACCAAACCAATCTTGACTGGAGTTATAGTGTATGTTTGGATTTAAACATCTCCCTTTTGTATTTTAATTAAGGTTTCTAATTTGGAAGATTTAATGTTAAAGCGAGTTTGGTGTCATCTTTCTTGTGTAGATTCACGTCAACCCCAGACAAAGCGGCAAACAAATACTACTTGGGCCCAGCTCCTTTGGAGGAGATGGCGATGCAAATCGCCACAGCTTCTGGACCTTGTGGGAACAACCGTGAGTATCTTTTCAAGCTGGAGAAAGCAATGCACGACATAGGTGAGAAAGAGCCCTTCTCAATGAATTTAAATTAAAAGGAAATATATGGCATTGATTTTGATATATATTTGGTGAATATTGTGGAACAGAGCATGAGGATGAGTTTGTGACTGAATTGGCAAATGAGGTTAGGAAACATCTCGACGTATCAGAGGAAGTTAAGGCATTGTTGAAGCCTGTGGTATCTCGTATATCCATCAAACCTCAGTCTCAAGCTCATGTTTCCACTCGCCAACGAGTCTTTGCATCATGAGAGACGAGCTAAGTCATGGAGCCAACTAACACGTTGATGAAGGATTTTTTTACGGATGTGACTCTTTTGGTTCCACTTTTATTTGTTTTATCACGCTTTTAACTTTCAAAAGTTTGAATTCAGAAACCAGACCTTTAGATTATTTTTTTCCGTCAGTGAGCATTTATAACACCATGACATATGATATTTAGTTGTTGAGAACAACTCTAATCTTTAGCTCTGGCCGTCACAACGCCCAATTTCATGCCAATCTTCTTAGAACATTTAGAAAGAACTTACTTGATTTGATGAGTATTGGATAATGATGATGAATATCAGGAATATTAGAGATATACATGAGAAGTATGTTGATAATTATGAGATCCGATAGATAAGGATCTACGTTGTGATTAGAGTTGTATATATACTTGTATTCTACATCAATAAGAAACAAAGTTGTTCAGTTATTTACATGGTATCAGAGCTAAGATCTGATTAAAAAATTCAAAGTTTTTCAAGTTCTTTTCATCAACATGAGTGACGAAGACAAATTAGCGATGACCAAGACGAACGAAGCTGTCATGTTGTCGCCGTATACGCTGTTTTCTTCTGATAACCCTGGCGCGAAGATCACCTCCGTGCAACTGAAAGGAGACAATTACAACGAATGGGCGATGGAGATGATGAATGCGTTGCGAGCAAAGAAGAAGACAGGCTTCATTGATGGAAGTTTGACAAGACCAGACGAGAAAGACAAGGACTTGGAGGCATGGCTGAGTGTTAATTCCATGATCGTCGGATGGATACGATCATCTATTGAACCAAGAGTGAGATCTACTGTGACTTTTATTACCGATGCGTACAAATTGTGGGAGAATCTCAAGAAGAGATTCGATGTTGGAAACAAAGTTCGGGTACATCAACTGATGGAACAACTAGCTTCTTGTCGTCAGAATGGAGAAGCCGTGATTGATTATTATGGACGTATGGCGGTTATGTGGGAGGAACTTCAAACATACAGACCACCACCTATGTGTACGTGTGCAGCTGCTGCAGCGTATGAAAAGGAGCGTGAGGATGAAAGAGTTCATCAGTTTATTATGGGATTAGATGACTCGCGTTTTGGGAATGTGGTTACAGCCATTATAGAGGCTGACGAGTTACCAGATCTTGGTAAAACATATGCAAAAGTGATCAGGGAGGAAGCAAGACTCAGTTCCTCCAAAGCAAGAGAAACAAATCAAGATGCTATAGGTTTTGTTGCCAAAAGGGAATCTCAAGTGTCTGAGAATTCTGAAGCTAACAGTGGAGGTGCACGTACTGAAGGAAACAAACCAAGAGAAAGGGTTTGCTATCATTGTGGGAAACCAGGACATGAGAAGAATTCTTGTTGGCAACTAGTGGGTTATCCAGAGTGGATCACTGAGAAACAAAGAGGACGTGGTGGAAACAGAGGCACTGGCAGAGGTTATGGCAGAGGTACTGGACGAGGAACGGCTCATGCTGCTACTGCTACAAGTTCCTATTCGCCAATGTCAAATGATCTTACTCCAGAACAATGGAGCAAGATAACACAGATAATTCAAGAAGGGAAGTCGAATGGTGGTAATGATAAGCTTTCAGGTAAAATACTTGGTGATGTTATTATCGACACAGGTGCCTCACATCACATGACTGGTGAATTTTCTCAGTTAGTAAACATACGAGATATCTCACCTTGTCGTGTGGGATTTGCGGATGGAGGAACCACAACATCAACGTGCATGGGTGATCTGTTTTTGAGTGAAACTATATCACTCAAAGATGTTCTATATGTACCAAATTTGGATTGCTCGTTGATATCGGTGTCCAAGTTACTACAGTACATGAATTGTTTTGCTTTGTTCACTGATGCTATATGCCTGTTGCAGGACCGTTCTTCGAAGACTCTGATTGGAGCAGGTGAGGAACGTGATGGGGTGTACTATTTCAAAGATGTTTCCATGGCAAGAGGCAATAAGGCGCAGAGCTCAGTTGATCAGTTGTTGTGGCATCAAAGACTTGGACACCCAGCTTTTTCTGTTTTTCGTATGGTTTCTGGTGTTATGAATAATGGTTGCTCTAGTCTTTGTGACATCTGTTATAGAGCTAAACAAACTAGGGATGTGTTTTATGAAAGTTGCAATAAAACTACTAAGTGTTTTGAGTTGATACATGTGGACGTATGGGGACCATATAAAGTGCCTTCTTCTTCTGGTGCAGTGTATTTTTTAACAATAGTTGATGACTATTCTAGGGCTGTGTGGACCTATTTGCTAGTTGCAAAATCAGAAGTTAGAAGAGTGGTGGAAAGATTCTGCAAATACACAGAAAAACAATTTGACTTGAGTGTTAAAATGGTTCGTAGTGACAATGGTTTGGAGTTTATGAGTCTGAGAAACTTCTTTGCCGACAATGGGATTCTACATCAAACAACATGTGTCTACACACCACAACAGAATGGCAGGGTTGAAAGGAAGCATAAACATATTCTAAATGTAGCTAGGGCAATGATGTTTCAAGCTAATCTACCTGTCAAGTTTTGGGGTGAGGCAATATCATCGGCGACTCATGTTATTAACATGACTCCATCGAAGATTCTTCAAGGAAAGACACCATATGAGGTTCTGTTTGGAAAGAAGCCAGTATATAGCTCATTAAGGGTCTTTGGTTCACTGTGCTATGTTCATAGAAGAGACAGAAATAAAGACAAGTTTAGCCCACGAAGCAGAAAATGTATATTTGTGGGATATCCCTTTGGTAAGAAAGGGTGGCGTGTGTATGACATGGAGACAAATGAGTTTTCTGTCTCTAGAGATGTAGTGTTTAAGGAGGATGTTTTTCCCTATAAAGAAAAGACGATGGCTCACGTGGATGACAGGAACTTGACTGGGGGACCTGATGATGATTGGGTCATATACTCTGTTGCAGATACAGAGGACAGGGGGAGTGATCCCATTGATGTAGAAGCAAGTGCAGGAGTGATTAATACGGAGGACAGAGTACTTCAAACTACAGACAAAGCTGCAGAGAGTCAAGAAAGTACAGAAATTGTTGTTAGTACTGAGGCCGTTGGCACTACAAATGAGAAGCAACCAGAGATCAGTAGTGTGGACATCAGTAGTGTGGATGCCCAAGAAGAAGCAAAAGAAACAGAGGTAGGACGAGGACAAAGAGAGAAGATACCGTCTGTAAAATTGCGAGACTATGTGTGTTACAATGCTGCATGCGTCAACGACCCCCATCACGATCTCACCAACTCAAATTCAGAGTCCTCGATGATGGTCTCAGGTACGCATTCCACACCATATCCTTTAGTGAACTATGTGTCTGATGATAATTTTTCGCCAGAACACAAAGCTTTTCTAGCTGCAGTTACGAAAGGTGATGCACCAAAGAGCTATAAACAGGCAGTTCAGCATCAAGTTTGGCGTGACTCTATGAAAGACGAGATTGATGCGTTTGAGCTAAACAAAACCTTTAGTATTGTAGATTTGCCACCTGGTAAGGAGGCTATTGGAAACATGTGGCTGTACAAGTATAAGTATGGGGCAGATGGCACGATTAAGAGACACAAGTCCAGACTTGTTGCTCTTGGGAACAAACAAGTAGAAGGAGTAGATTTTACTGAGACATTCGCACCCGTGGCTAAGATGACAACTATTCGAGGATTGTTACGTGTGATAGCAGGAAAAGGTTGGTTTGTACATCAAATGGATGTGCAAAATGCATTTTTACATGGAGAACTCAAAGAAGAGGTATACATGAAACTCCCACAAGGCTTCACTCACTCTGATCCCAAGAAGGTTTGTAGACTCCACAAAGCTGTCTACGGTTTAAAGCNGTTGGTTTGTACATCAAATGGATGTGCAAAATGCATTTTTACATGGAGAACTCAAAGAAGAGGTATACATGAAACTCCCACAAGGCTTCACTCACTCTGATCCCAAGAAGGTTTGTAGACTCCACAAAGCTGTCTACGGTTTAAAGCAAGCTCCGAGATGTTGGTATGAGAAGCTGGCTGAGGCACTAACGAAATATGGCTTCAAACATTCCTATGAAGACTACTCGCTGTTTATGTATACAAAAGGGGAAGTTGAGATACGAGTTCTAATATATGTGGATGATCTGCTAGTGTGTGGAAACAACATGGAAATCTTGGTGAAGTTCAAGGAGTATCTTGGAAGATGTTTCCATACGAAGGATTTAGGCAAACTCAAATATTTTTTGGGCATTGAAGTTGGAAGAGGAGCTGAAGGATTTATGATCACACAGAGAAAGTATACTCTGGACCTAATTGCAGAGACTGGTATGCTTGGTGCGAAGCCCTGTGGGACACCGATGGAACAACAACATAAGCTTGGGCGGGACATGAGTCCATTCATTCAACAAGCCAGTCAATATCGAAGGTTAGTAGGGAAGCTGATATACTTGTCAATCACGCGTCCAGACTTGTCGTATCCAGTCCACATTTTGGCGCAATTTATGCAGACGCCTAGAGAGGCTCATTGGGAAGCAGCTCTCCGGGTAGTAAGATACTTGAAAGGAACCGTGGGTCAGGGCATTCTTCTGAGCTCTAATCCAGACCTCAGTTTATCCGTGTTTTGTGATGCAGACTGGTCTTCTTGCCCCACATCCAGACGTTCGTTGAGTGCGTACGTAGCAATGGTAGGAGACTCAGCCATTTCATGGAGGACGCAAAAGCAGGACGTTGTTTCACACTCCTCAGCAGAAGCAGAATATAGGTCAATGGCAGAGGCGTCACGAGAGATCAAATGGCTAAGGCGACTGTTGCATGATCTAGGAGCACCTTTCAAGGATCCAGTTCGGTTATACTGTGATAGTAAATCGGCCATATACATTGCCACAAACCCAGTCTTTCATGAGAAAACGAAGCACGTGGAATCTGATTGTCATCAAGTTCGAGATTCAATAAAAGCCGGGTTGATTTCAACGGTACATGTCAAGACCAATGAGCAACTAGCGGATGTTCTAACAAAGGCACTTGGTAGAGTCCAATTTGAGAAGCTGTTACATTGCATGGGAGTTCGAAATTTCCATCTTCCCAAATTGAGGGGGAGTATTGGATAATGATGATGAATATCAGGAATATTAGAGATATACATGAGAAGTATGTTGATAATTATGAGATCCGATAGATAAGGATCTACGTTGTGATTAGAGTTGTATATATACTTGTATTCTACATCAATAAGAAACAAAGTTGTTCAGTTATTTACAATGAGATCAGTGATGGGAAGATGGTTGCGTTGTGAAAGCCAATCATAATCAAAGTTGAAGCTGATACCTTTTGTATCTTCACTTTGATGGTACAGTACCATTCTAATTTTGCCAGTTTTCATTTACCTTACAGACCAAATTTGATTGGAGCCCATGTAATACATTTTTAAATTGAAAATAGCAGTGAGAGAGAAGTAACAAATTATATTTACTCAAATGTAACAAAAACATAAAAATGATTTTTAAAATTTTAAATGATATGACAAATAAAATTTGGCGCCAAAGAACACGATATAAGAATTAAATACTTAGGAACCAAATTAAGTAGTTCAATACAATTTTACTAAATATAGTTTACATACAATTTTGGTAAAATAATCTCATTAATCAAAAACAGAATAACCGGTACCAAACATAACTTGGCGCGAAGTATATAAATTTGGTAAAATAGTTCTAAAATTTATTACTGATCAAAATTAGAAAAATCAATAGTTAGTTGAATAACCGTTAAACATATTGTTCTAGTACACCATATTAACAAAAACAATTGGCATGAACAGGCAAACGAACCCAAACTTTTGTGTTAACTACTAATTAAAAGAAAAATGCAGAAGAACATAGCTAAAAATAAAGAAACAATCGAACTCATTGTTCTGATACCAAAAAAGAACTGGCATGAAAAAAATAGAGGAGTCGGATAATGTAATAAAACATCTCTAGCACATAAAAAAAACAAACAAAAATCACATTATTACCAAGTACTCCTACAGTAATAAAACATCTCCAACACATGGAAAAAAAAAACATGAATTCACATTATTACCACAAACAAATATAACCATGAGTTTCCGGAGTCAACGCCTGCGGTCAGGTAATGACTTAATAAATCAAAAGACACGCGTCAACACACAAGAGGCTTATATGGAAACGCTTATCGTGCTCACTTCCCCATCTGATTATCTCTCTCACATTAGCGGACTTCTCCTCATATTATTAAATCCGCTTAATAATTATTTTTGTGTCTGCCCTTTTTTTTCACAAATTAATTCACAGAGCAAAGTCAAATACTTTCCTCTGTTGTCTCTGTGAAGGAAGAAGAAGCTGTTCTGTAAGATTATTATGGACGGAGGTAGCGCGTACAACCCACGTACGGTGGAGGAGGTGTTTAGGGATTTCAAGGGTCGTAGAAATGGCATGATTAAAGCTTTAACCACTGGTAATTAAATTTGAGTTTCCATCAACACTTTGCATTGTTATTAAAAAAAACTTAACTTTAAGGTTTCTCTTTTTTTTTGGCAGATGTTCAGGATTTTTACCGGCTTTGTGATCCAGGTGAGTGGTTTGGTTGTTGGGTTTGAAGAAAGTCACTGTCTTTATTGAATTGTCTTTCTTTATGCTCTGTTTTTCGAGCTCAGTGGTTGAGTGATGATGCAATTAGGGTTTTGATAGTTTCTCTATTCTCTGTTTTTCTTAATCTGTTAGAGTGAATTGTGTGTGGTAGCAGAGTAAAGTTTTGATTTTCTTTATATTTCTAAATAAAAAAAGTTTTGATTTTTATTTGACTTTTTGAATACTGGTTTAAAAAAAAAAATGTTCATTTAGTGTGAATCTTTCGGTGAATTCGTGATTGGCTTTAGCATTGTATAAATCTGGTGGTTTGAGAGACTTGAGAGACTTGAGAGAGTGCTCTTTGATTCACATTCAGGGTTGTTTTTGTGTGTTCTTACTAAGAACTTCTTAGTGTTGGTTGGGCCTTGTTTCTATTTTACTCGATGATTTAAAGAAAACAGTTTAGATTCTGTTCCTTGAAGTTTAGAGTGTTTGGGAACATATCAGCTTGATTTTGTTACTAAATTTCCGGTTTAAGTTGCTTTCCTTACCTATATGGATTAATCTCCTTGTTTAGATGTTAAATGAGTCAGAGAATCATTGTCTCTTTGCTTTTTACGTCATCTGTGTTATGTTTTTGGTTCTATTTCTATTAAGAGTGTGTTTTTTTTGTTTAATTCGTGATGTCATGGATATTTTGTAAAAATGACAACTTGGTTATCTGCTGACTTTTTATGTTACTTATGGCATAATCTTTAACAGTTAGGTCATATGATATAATTTGGTTTGTAAAGGTTTTGGCAGGTTGATGTAATCTGAACAATGTTATTTCGCTAAATTGTACTCATTTTCTCGTCTTGTGATTGTAGAGAAGGAGAATCTGTGTCTCTATGGACTCCCAAATGAGCACTGGGAAGTGAATCTACCAGCTGAAGAGGTTCCTCCTGAGCTCCCAGAGCCTGTCTTGGGTATCAACTTTGCCCGTGACGGCATGCAGGAGAAAGACTGGCTGTCTCTTGTTGCTGTCCACAGTGATGCATGGCTTCTTGCAGTTGCTTTCTTTTTCGGAGCCAGGTTTGGCTTTGACAAAGCTGATAGGTAATGTATCTCCCTTAGTCACACACTATAAAACTCCTTTTTGAGTCTTATCTACTTGCAACATATGTTTATGAAGCTCTTTTATGGTTAAAGTTATATGTATTCCCCTCCTTTTGTTGCTGCAGGAAAAGGCTTTTCAATATGATGAATGACCTCCCATCAATTTTTGAGGTTGTGGCTGGCACTGCTAAGAAACAATCAAAAGAGAAATCTTCTGTTTCCAACAATAGTAGCAACAGATCCAAATCAAACTCAAAGGTAACTTAGTCAGCAAATCTGTTTATAATTTTCTTAGTAAGCTGCGTCTCAATTACTCTTCATCTTGGCTTAGTGCTGAGTGTTCTTGTGTGACATGAGAGCTTAAGTGCATCCCTTTGTTCATTTTTGAAATTACAGCGAGGATCAGAACCGAGGCCTAAGCTCACAAAGCCTGAGCCGGAAGATGAAGAGGAGGAAGAGGAAGGTGTGGAAGAGGAGGATGAGGATGATGATGATGAGCAAGGTGAAACACAGTGTGGGGCATGTGGTGAGAGCTATGCAGCTGATGAGTTCTGGATTTGCTGTGACCTCTGTGAGAATTGGTTCCATGGGAAGTGTGTGAAGATAACACCAGCAAGAGCTGAGCACATCAAGCAGTACAAGTGCCCATCTTGCAGCAACAAGAGGGCTAGGTCCTAAAAATTCATTCTGTGGTATTTGCTTTGCATATGATGTGAACAGCCTAACTCTTTGGTTAGATCAGATTTGTTGGTTAAGTAAAGACTTCTTTTCGCCTTCTTAGGAAGACATTTAGTTATCATTTGTTACAAATGGTTATTGAAGGAAGCATCTATGTGTTTAGGGTTTGATCCTTGTTCTCTCTTATGTTTGTTTATTAGAGAAGAAAACATTTTAAAACTCAATTAAAAGTGTTCCGTTCTATTTCCAATGCCTTTCTTTTACCAAATGTTCTAAAAATCGGTTTAGGCGTATAAATGGTCCATATCATATACCATTACTGCTTCTTTACAGCCAGGCGCTTCAAGAACTCATAGGTAGTGATCATAGTTGTTGAAGACATAGACATAGAGACCCACCTTGGTCCTAACCCTCTATAACAAGCCTTAAAGCCACCTTCCCTCACCAAGCTCTTCACTGTCTGCATCACCGTCATTGCTCGTTTCCTCCCATTCTCTTCAGCGTCTAAAACCTGTAACCTTGTCTTGATTGTATCCACAGGCATAGTTATCAAAGCCGAGCAACCACTTGCTGTAACTGCACTCAGGGCTTGAACCACCACTGAGCCACCACTACCATCTTGACGCTTGAGTTTACACCAAATTGATCTTTGAGCTAATGAATAAGACGCCCACCAGACAGCGTTTGAAGGTGCATAAGTCAAGATAGAGAGACCAAACCCTCTGTAGAACCCTCTTGGTCCATCACTGTAAAGAATCTTCCTAAAACCATCAAACCCGTTACTGTATCTGCAAGAAGTCAACGACACGTCACCTTGAACCATAAGCCGTTGGCTCACAACATCAATCGGTGTCCAGACAATCTGAGCAGCTACAGCAGAGGTCAAACCAGCTGCACCATTAGCAACAGCCGTAGATGTTGTATCAGAAAAACCTAACCTAACGGTTGCTTGACCAACACTACTCTTGGTGATCTCTAGAGCAGTCATGTAGAGTGCACGAGCAGGGATGCTTCCAAGGAGAGACGTTCCAAAGCCCTTGTAGAAACCTCTTAGTCCCTCGAGTCTAGCGATGGAAAGAGAGATGTTGGCGCAGGAGACATAGGTTGGGGAGACTTGTTGCCTTGTTTTGAGGACAAGGATAGGGTAAAGAGCTGTGGATACACCGGAGAAGAGAGCAGCTCCGAGGAAGAAGAATCTTGGTTTGTCTAGCATTTGCCAGTCTATATCATTTGGCATGTGTACTTGAGAAGATGTTGCTCTTTTCTCCTCTTTTATCAACGCACCTAAACTCATTTTTTAGCTGGTCAAGATGCTTAAAAGGGACCTAAAGAGGCTAACCTAGTCAAACTAGATAGTAAGTGAAGATCAGTGTAAGCTAAGAAAGAGAAATGAGTTCTTTATAAAATGGCAAGTATCTTTCATTCACTTAGTGTTATGAAACTACCTTGTGGAGAAGGAGAGAGTGGATATAAATCAGTAGAAGAAGAGAATCTCTGTGGATTTGTTAGCTTATAAAACTATGAACTCGATAGAGAATATATTATTTAAAAGTTGGAGGGAGACAAAACGATGGGTTGTCACACGACTCAAGAGACTGAGAGGCAGAGAGACATGGGTTAGAAATGATTTGGAGACGTGGCTAGTTTTTATTGGTTGATGTTAGAGAAACTTGCCGCTTTTTAAGGTTGCATCAGCCTCAGAGAGGAGTTTGGCTTCTGTCCAAAACGCCCACATGTTTCAATCATTCTATGGGTTACCATTTTTTATTCTATTTTTTCTTTTTGATTCAAATGTCACGTTTCTTTTCTTTTGTTGCATCTTCAAATTGTGAAAAAATAAAGTATTTATCAATAACCATCACTAAATAAAATTTAGTGATTTAGATAATATCTAAAATGTGAACAATCTCCTTGTTTAGTTGATTAGCGGTTCAATAATATTATTACATAAAATTTGAAGTAGTTCATGCTTTTGTTGCAAAATCTCAATACGACAAGATGAAGATCAAACAAAAGTTTATAACTATGAAGTCTATTACGTGAGAACAAGATCCTCATCTGAGTTGCTACTTGATATGAGAGAGTTACCTCATCTGTCCATTCCAAGCTCTAAAGAACACTTTAGGCCAAAGAAACGGATGACACTGTTTGCGTCTCCTTCTACACTCTCTTTCAGAAACTTCAGAAGATTCCAAGTCATCGAGTTTGTTTGTCTTGGTGAACAAAGCGATGAAGAACCCTTCTTTGTCCTCCTCTGGATCCATCCTTAGTAAATGTTCAGCTACAAGACAAAAAAAAAGCCAAACATGAATCAATCATCAACTTGTTTAGAAACCAAAACAGTAAGGGTGAATGTGATGATGATGATGATACTTACATCCCTCGCATACAGGGAGACCACGACGTTGCCATTGAGGGAAAGGAGTAGCGAGTTCAAAGCCCAAGGATGAAGCTAAAGGTAAAACAGAGGAGACCACATCTTCGTTTTCTATCTGGTGGATGGAGCATGTGCTGTATACTACTCTCTCAACTTGTGGAACTACAAGTTGCATAGGCATATGAGGATGAGTACTACTAATTCAACATACATATGAGAGTAAGTATGTAAAAACTCACAGGAGAGTGCATGAGCAAGAGCCTTCTTCTGGAAAACAGCGAGTTTGTGGAGTCTTATGGAGTCATAGACTCATAGTTCTTGTTATCATCTACATGGAAATGTGTTTTTTAAATGCTGTGTAATATTAAACCACACATACATAGACACAAGAATCTGTTAAGAACCTGCTGAGTGAGAAGGGAGAAGATGGTCCAAACGATCTGATATGGTTCCAGAGCCAGAGCAAGAAGGATCCAATAATATAGCTCGAACCTGAGATAACCAGCCACATGCAGAACAATGGCTCAAATGACTGCCTCTGCTTACTATATTGTTCATTTCATAAGAGTGACTTCTCTTCACAGCAGACTAAGTAATGCTTACCTTTGCAAAAGAAGGATCTTCTGGATTTAGTCCCAAGAAATCACCATGAACGACTTCAATATCTACAACTTGGAGTTAAGAAAAGCAATCAAGTATAGACACTACTTACGAAGTGTTCACGGATTTGTTCTTCAGTTCCATCTAAAATTCAAGTTACTTGGAACAAAGCTATCAACAAGACAAGGATACTGGTAGCACCAGAGAGCTTAATAGTCTGTTCCAAACGCTTTACACGTTCTTCATTTAGCTCACACGCTATGATTTTCCCTTGTCCTTTCATAAGTGCAGCAAGATTTATAGTTTTGTTTCCTGGAGCTGAACATGCATCAATAACCTTCAGGCAAAAAAACACTTAGCATGATGATACCACAATCTACTAAAATGTGGGCGGGCGAGAACTGTGGGCTTACCTCCCAACTTGGTTCTGGCTGCAGTGCTGCTGCTACCATTGCACTTCCCTTTCCCTATCATTCAAAAGAATAAATAAATAATAAATATTTAGTGTTCTAAGAAATTGGCCTAATCAATAAATCCATATAAATGGCGATTTTTTTGAACATGGATGAATCCAATGAAATCAAGTGTTTACTCCTATTTATTATTGAATTAACCGATGAATTTACTATCGAAGATTTTTTCTGTATTCGAAAAATTTCGCAACAAAATTGAACATATTTTTTATTATGAGAATAAATCCTACTACTTCGGATCCAGAAACTATATATTAAACAGAATTTACAAAGACCATTCACCTGCAAAAATATACGTCCATTCTTGACCAAATGATGAGCATGCAAATCGCTGCCAGGGGGCATTACCAATAGGTCAGGAACTGTCTCATCTTTCTGCACCTGTTTTCATATTATTGAACAAAGTGAGAAAAATGAAATCTGGACACAAGAAAGGAACTGTTCACACTTAATCCAAGATGATCTCAACTACTTGAGTAACTAGTTAGTTAGTATATACCTTATACAGTTTCCCCAGCTCCTGCACTGCTGAATCTACATCCATCTTGAGTGTATTTACACGAACATACCTTGGTTTCAACGGAACTGCACACAATTTAATATTAAATCATCAATACACTGAAAAAGAACTCAAATAACATCCAAAACGTGTCTATGCTTAGAGTTATCATATCATATTACCATTAGGCTGAGAAAGACCCAACAACTCATCAACAGTTTCAACTTTCTTCCTCACTAAAAGCGTGGCTAGACTTGACACAAAAGCATCTTTACGTCTCATGAGAAACTTCTCAGCATCACCAATCAACAGAGGATCCTGAAAATCATAGAAGCTCCATTGAGTAACATAGCTAGAAGAGAGAGACTGTAGATAAGCTCACAGAGGCTATTACCTTTCCGAAAAGGATGTCATAGCAAATTATGTAGACCAATGGCTCTTGTCTCTACAAAACAACAGAATTAAGCAATTGAGGGTAAGTGAAAGGAGGCATCTTTACGACTGAATCCAAAAAAGAAGCAAACTTTAGCATTGTGGGGGTAAGGCCGGCCCTGAAATTTCGGGGGCCTGAAACAAAATAGTAAACGGGGGCCAGTATACAACATCGCCAAAAAAACATAAACAAATTTGTAAAAATATTTTCAAATACACAAGTTTCCTCACAGAAAAAAACAATTGTCTACATCTTTTGAAACAAATTTAAATTTATGATTATTAAAATTTTATATATATATAATATAATTGAATTTTTATTTTTTTGGGGCCTATAAAAGTATTCATCTTTATTGCAATTTAGATGGAAACCCATTACCTTCCATTTGCTATTCAACACGTCAGCTATCTCAAGAACTTGTTTTATTACATCAAGATCTGCAGACAAGACAGGACAGGTTAGTTAGTTTAAGTTAGTGTCTGAATATGAGAGAGAGAGGGAGATTACGTTTGAGGGTCTGGCAGACGAGAGCGAAGGTGGCGCGTTTGTTGCGGACGGAATGGCTGAAGACGAGCGACTTTATCGAAGTGGCGGCGCGACGGTCGGCGTCTCCTCGGAGGACGGTGCGGAGGACCTTGGCTGCTTCCCTTGACGCGTACAGAGATGATCTCTCGGCGCTCGAGAACTTTTGCTTAGCTACCGCAGACTGGCGCGTGCCTTTTGGTTTGCGACGCGCCATGGGCAGTAAAGTAAAACCCTTTTGCTCTCAAACTTTTCTTCAGCTTTAAAGTTTAAACTAGATCATAACCCTCGGGCGGGTATTTGTTTTTATGGGATATATAAACATTTCAAAAATTACAATCTAATGGTTCCAATTTGACTAAGTAATAGTACATTATTTAAACATTGTATTTCATCACTGTATTGTGTAACAGAGGCGTCGCAAAATATTGTGACCCGTAAACCTTTTATTAATAGTTTATAATTTTTTTCTTTGCTAAATTTGGTACAAAGTTATATACATTAAACAATTTATTCAAATTTTAAGTTAATTTTTTAATGAAGAATTGAAAGGCTAGTATATCACTGTTAAAAATTTATAACAATAGTCAATATAAATTATATAAATAAAATATATATTATTCTTGATTTATTTTAAATACATTTAAAACATGAATACATATATGTATAA